AGATTTATAGCAAAAATCATTCGAGCTTTCGGCGACTTTGCATTAATGTAGCGCAGGTAAAGAGTTTGCGGTTTAAATTTCAATTCGGGGTGGAGGATTTAATCTTCATATACCATTGATATAAAAGGCGGCATACCGATTTGAAATTAAATTGAACATGAATCTTTTGGGACAAAAAGGGGACGGCAAGATTCGTGCACTGAATAACACAAAGTAAAGCTGAACAAAAAAAAAAAAGAAACAAATCATTGATTCAACGCCATATTTCATTAAATCGACCTAAATCGATTAAATTTCAAAGGGCAGTGGAAATGGGTGCCAATCTTTTGGGAGAAACCGTAATGTTTGGAGTTGCGGCATCATTGATTATATGGGAACAAACAAGGTGCGTGCAAATAATCTCGATAATCATGTTTTATTAAATATATGTATTCATTGAATATGCGTAGGTCACGTAAGCTATCCAAGAGTCGACAGTATAATTTAGATGATACAATAGAAAAGCTAAAAGACGAAACCAGAGAATTAAAAGCTGGTATAGAAAAATTGCAAGATGATAATGAGAATTTAAAAAATCGATTGAATCAAGTTTTAGCAGCAGGACCAAAATCAAAATGGCGGACCGAAAGTGTCTCGGAGGGCGGTGGGTACAACCAGCAGGAAGATCGCCAAGAGGATCAGGTTGACGAAGTTGGTAAGGAAAAAATTAAAGTGAATATGTTGAAGGAAGCAAGAACATGATACCCGAAGATGTACTGTTTTGCTATGTAAAAATATTAATTATCTACATTCTATGTGCTATTATCGATTAAATAAAGTATGTGATTAAACTAAATCTAATATCTCTAATGATAGTATGACGATTATGATGATGATGATGATGATGATGGTGATGATGATGATAATAATAATGATGATGTGGCGATCATTTATTTCCCGGTTGACCCTGACGATTTAACATCGCTAGTTGTAATTTGCGTTGAACTGTCTGTAATTCCTTCTCACCAAGTTCATCGATCAGTGCAAGAACGGCATTTAGCACATTTGACTGCAAAAAAAAACGTTGAAAGAAAGAACAATCAATTTAGCAAATAATTGAAGTGAAACTGGACGATTGATTCTATTAAATATATTATATTAAAACAAACCTGTCGGGACCCGTTGTTTGACTCCTGGTTACTTTCCCCAATGTTATCTTGTTTTGGTGAGGTTTTTAAAGGTTTTGTGAGAGGGACGGATATCGGTTTTACTTGTGAACGAACTTTCGTATCCCCCGTCGTACCACCTGATTTGGTCCTTGTCATCTTCGGTGATGCCTGGGAATTACTTTCAGCAATTGGCGGCGTTCGGGACAAGAATCGACCCGGAATTCCGGGTGATTTGACCAACGATCGAGCACTCGAAGAATTTAACGAAGGAACATTTAGATGATCTCCATGATCATTTGTGACGATTTTTGGTGATTGACGATCGTCGCTGGCCGTTGTTTTTAAGTCATATAAGCCATCACCATTAGTTTTTGACGGCGTCCGAGAATTGTTAGAGTTCAAAATTCTTCCAAAAGACGTTGGAGAAGGTGACAGAACGTCATCATTTCTGGAGTCTAAATTTGTCTTCACTGGAGAAATTCCATTTACTTCTACACGCGATTTTCCTCCGTTCCTTTCTGTAAGTTTCGCCGGAAGAGTCAGACGTTTACGAATTTTAAGCGGCATGGTTGCCGGCGACTACGAAGATTGGATTTTGACAAGATGAAAATCCAAGAAATTGTGAAAAATGTTTAAATGAACAATTACCCACCGGATTCATGGATGCAAGAACTTCTTCGTCGGTGACCTCTTGACATTTTGAAGTTATAAATTTAGCGCAAATTTGTCCAGCACGCGAAAACACACGATAAACACGCATTCATATATATGTATATCTACCATGATGATCCAACTTTTTTAACCAAGGAAGATGCCTCAAGATTACGTATCGATATTGTCTTTCGTCATCGGCACAGGGATTGTCACATAACCAGAGAACTTCCAAATTTCTTAAAGAAGTTAAGTGCCTAGTCTGATCAGCGTCAGTAATATAATTTTTCCTTAGGTAAAGTTCTGCATGCATTAAAATCTATGTCGTGTTGAGAAATGCGTTAAGAAATTCCTATAAATTGAAATTTAATGTACCCTTAAGGTTTTTGCCTAAAAGGTGAAAGTTCCAACGAAATTTAAAAATGAGGCCATAGTTGATAAAATCTCTGCAAACTTCTAAAAGCTGACTCACATTCCGCAAGTTGTTCCAATGTTGTGAGATTATTGACACTTGATTTTTTTCAAATATATAAATATATACATTAGAGAAAAGTTTAAATTAAAATCTTCCGGAATTCAAAGTGTTTGTTCCTTTACCTCAAGCTTAATACCTCCAAGTTTGAACAGGCTTTCAACGCGGAAACATTGTCCAATTCGCATGCCTACTACGCACTATTATTAGTTTAACATGACAACGTATAACGAAGAATGATCAATGGTGATTCGTGAATCGCACCAAAAGATTCAAATTCCGCACGTCGGATAATGAACTTGCGGAAGATTTCAACAGAATAAGTTCTTCCGTCAAAATTACCATTGTTCGAAAGTGATCGAGTTATCAGACATCGCATATACGTACGACACGTATATATTGTGTCCACATGAACCAATCAAAAAACCTATTACTGAGAGCCTGCATGTTAATGATGATACTTCCACCCATTCAGCGAGGAATAACTGTTCTTAATCGGGAACTTTTTCGTCGCACTATTGAGGTAGTAGGAGTGCGTGTACCAGTTACCTCTACCTCAAGGCTCTTGAAAGTTTTAGATAAGTAAGAACACGAGGCCTATCTTATGATGCATGTGCGTTCTATAAATTTACTGGAGCATTATCTTCGAAATTTACAGCGATCTATTCAACCAGCCAAAGCTTAGAAATGTCGTCGATGATCCTGAATCAAAATCATTCAAAGTAATTTTGCTAAATCCTGGGGTTAATAACTTAGGTACTATCCGGGCATAGTGAGGATGAATTTATAGCTACTTTCAGTCCCGATTTATTTCAACGATATGTCGGAAGGATTTAGTCAATATTGATCTCATTTTGCGACGACTCTTTTCTCAGATCTCGATGGCTTGTCCGAGGAAGCCAAAAAACTTATTAGGGGCGAAGGATTCCCTGTCGTTAGTCATTCGATCGAATTGAATTACGATTATTGGGGATCTGGTATATCTGATTAGGCTTTATTTGGACATTGTCGATCCCTGATAATTAATCTATTTTATATCGATATAAGACGAAATACTCAAAGCCATATTACCCGACGGCATGGAAGCACCATCGTCGTTTACCCAGGTCGGTCATATTGGTGAGTCGCAAAGTTCAATTTTACCTTGAATTTCCTAGCTATTCCTCTAATTAACCTAACCTCAATTAATTTAGCTCACATGAACTTGCGTGATGAATTTCTTCCTTGGAAAGATCTTATTGGTCAAGTGATTCTTGATGTGATTATGAAACCATTCACCAGCTTTTATGAATTTGGATTTGACGATCAGATAGTCTCAATAATTAAAATTTTGTCCTCAGAAAAACCCAAAGGTCACGACGGTTGTCAACAAAACGGACAACATTGACTCGACGTATCGGGTTTTTAACATGGAAATTTTAGCGGGCGAAAGTAATTTGATAGCAGAAGTGGTTAGTCCAAGTAGAAAAAGTAACCTTGTCCTTGCATTTCCTCATTCATTGGTTTAACTTATGACTCATTTATTTGGATAGAAAGAAAGTAATTGTAGATTTCGATTCGATTTTTCACAAGTATATTGGAATTCCAGATTGCACACTGAACACGAACGTTTGATTAAGATGTTTAAGGGCGGGGATTATATATGTGAGTACTGATCATAGTTATCACTAAAATTTATCCCTATGGGAATTATATTTCTGATGATGTTCATGTCTTAGGCGACGTTTTCGCCGGTGTTGGGCCTTTTTCAATTCCAAGCGCTAAAAAAGGGTGCATTGTGTATGCCAATGATTTGAATCCTGCCTCATACAAGTACCTAATAGAAAATGCATCGTTGAATAAGGTAATATTGATCATTATGTGATTCTAATTTTATTTGTTGATATATTATTATTTTTTGTTATATCAAATGGATTTTTTGTTGTGAAGGGTAGGTAAAAGATAAAATCCAACCTTATAATCTGGACGGAAGAGTATTTATAAAAAAAGCGGTCCAAGACTTGGACACATTGTTGAATTCCGAGGAAGAGATATCCTCCTCGTCAGATGCTAATGAATTGATGAAAACATCTGGGTTTCGAACTTTTGACCATTTCATTATGAATTTACCGGCTACCGCTATAGAATTTTTGGGTAATCTAATTGATTTTTTTTTTTTTTTTTGGCATCTTGAGTTTTTGTTAAATTATTTTTTCTTCTTTTGACCTTTAGATGCACTAAAAGGTTTGTTCAAAGATAAAGAGTCTCTGTTTGAAACCTTGAAGATGGATCTGCCGATGGTCCATTGCCACTGTTTCTCTAATAGCGAAACTCCGGAGAACGATGTGGTTGAAGTAAGTTCCGTTCATAATGCAACATATCGTACATTACTTGTTTTTGATGTCACCTTTTTTTGTCTCGACAGCGGATAAACTCAGTTTTGGGACATCCATTACAGACGGACACTTACCGAGTTCATTTTGTTAGAAAGGTGTCTCCAAAGAAAGATATGTTTTGCGTTAGTTTTCGTTTAAGCAAAGCTGTTGCTTTTGCTCATGGGAGGTATGTGGCGTGAGATTATAGCATTTAAAAAAACAATTTCAATAAATTTCATTTGCTTTTAACGATCTTCATAATGATAGCGCAAAGCGTAAGCAGGAAACAATCGATGTTACTTCGGATTTAGATGGTACAAGTGAGGTCGACCCTACTTCAAAAAAACTTAAGTCGGATGAATATGAGACTTCGTAAAACAAAAAAAAATGTACGGAAAAAAAATAAAATTTAATAAAAAATCTTATTAGTAACATCGAAGTTTAAATAAATTAGTTTATTGATAAATCTGAAAATTTTCTCCTTTTTAGTAGCTCTGTAAAAAGTCAAAAAACAAGTTAATAGATTTATTTATTAATAAATCAACGGGGCTCCAGCGGGAATTGAACCCACGACCTCTCGCACCCAAAGCGAGAATCATACTACTAGACCATGGAGCCGAGACACATAGGAAGGCGCCTATTTTTTTTTATAAGAATGGTTTAAGTCTCTTTTAAAAGAAAATATGCAAATTTAAGAAATAGTATATATATCACGTGCTAAAGGCCATGATGATCGCAAAAACATATCTGATTTAATGTAGTAATTAAAAAGGTTTACACACGAAGATGAACGTCGCATAAAATATTTATTTCTCCCTACTAGTATTAAATATGTCGTTTTCTAAATCTACAATTGGTCATTTATCTTTTCTCACTTTTTTTTCCTTCTTGTCTTTCTTTTCTTTCTTGGCACGTTTTTTCGCTCTTTTCTTTTCTTTTTTAAGTTTTTTGATAAGATAATCTCGCATCGGGTCATCAGGATCAACCTTGTCCGCAAATTCGTCCTCTGAGCTAGCCGAGGATTCAGAATCATCTTGGTGACGTTTAATAAAAGCAATGAATTGGCAATTTGTAATACGCATTTGTCGACAATTGATAACTACAAACCTTTAAATATTTCCGGTGCTGCGTTCATGCCAGTTCTGCGCTGGCCGTCTTTGGTCTGGTTACTTGCATGATCCACCCTTATTGTACGCCCTAAGAGCTAAAATGCGTAAATAATAATTATTTGTCGAATGTGCCACCAGATTACATGAAAGATCGTGAGAAAATTTCTTACATTAATGTTATTTAAATTATCGACGGCCAAGATAGTGCTCCTTTGATCTTCATATTTCAAAAATGCAAATCCTTTTGAAACCCCGGTCTTTTTATCACGAACCAATTGGATATCCAAAATTTCTCCATATCTGTTGAAAAATTTATAATGAATTTAGAATACTTCAAATAGAGAAGGATGGATTCGCAAACTTACTGAGAAAATACTGCAATTATGTCGCCCTCCGTTAAGTCGAAAGGAATATTTCCAATAAATATGTACGGCGAGTCTTTATATTGTTCGTGCCAGGACCCAGCTCCTGATATATTACGATTTAGTTCCTGAATATTAATGCGTTGAATCTCTTTCGTCACGCTGGCAATTTAAGTGGAAAAATTACAAAGTCACAAACGAAGTCAAAAGATAGAAATAAGGTAAAAGTAAAAAAGGACATACTTCATTGTTATGTGTATCGAAATGCGTAAAATGTGAGTTGACTATTTATTTAAACACAGAATTTATAGTCACACCTCCCTCACCAGCCACGTTCAGATGATCAATTTATTTTATTAACTTGGTGTCTCCATAATTATTTTTTCTATTATTTAATAGAAGTTTGAAAAAGTTTAATCATTTTATTTTTTGTCTCGAATCGATTTGATAAAATTATTTCTCTTTATTAAATATTCTTCATTTAAAATTTGCAGTTGCTTTCAACAGTTTTAGTTCACGTATTATTTTTTTATTATAATTTATATCATCAGGACATATCTTTATTGAGATATTAAATGAACATCTGCAAAATTACATGGACTATTTACATGGCAATTTTAAATTATTTTTGTATATTATTAGTTGAAGAATTATATTACACTAATCAAAAATTATTTATTTGACATAATGTTACTTGTGTAAAATTCATTAAAACAATAAATAATTCAATAAATTAATCCATTTTTACTATATAATTTAATATTTATGGCATATTATATAATTCAATATAAAAAATCATCAATTTATATAATTTGATATTAATATATTTTTATTATATAATTTAGTATAAAAAATTTTTAATATTTTCTATTATATATTTTATAAATTAATAATATAAACATATCAATTCTTTCCACTGATCAATTTTATCACTATTTTCAAAGCAATATTCATTAAAAGTTTTATATTTCTATATTAATAAAGTTACTATACTATTATTAAATATATTTTATAAATATATTACAAAGCACTTTCCTTTATTTCTTTGATTGACTTGAGTATTAATTTTCAAATCAAAAGTAAATAAGATAAAACCTAAACTCTTAAAGATAATAAAGAATACTTAAGAAGAAGACTTTTGATTAAAGACTCCTTTTCATATTTTTATAATAGACAAGTAAATTTATAAAAAAAGTATTTACTAAAGATTAAATAATATACAGTGATTATATTCTCTTGAAAATTTATCAGATCTTAAATTTTTAAAATTTGTAAACAAATTTTCAGTTTTCTTGAAAAATTTTACTTATTCTTCTGATCTTGAATTTTTGATAACATCAAATTTACTAAAATTTCATTGACAAAAATTTGAAATTGAATAATATTATTAATAACAAAAAATAAACAAGATATATATAAACTTTTATATATTCCTTTTAATATTATTTCTCTTGTCAATAGATATTATTTTTATTATGGTCATCAACTTAATCTAATATAAATATTCTATAGATTATATATTCTCAGATCTATTATTAATATAAAAACTCTTTTCACTATTCCTCTGACCACATACAAAAAAGATATTTGCAAGAAGTTTTTATACTTCTTTGTTAATAAAGTCTTAATACTTTCATTAAAACAACTTGAA